ATTAATTAATTCGTGTGATTTACAATTAATTTTATTACCAACTTCTCCAGAAATTTTATAAACATTTTATAATAGTAAAATTATCCATAAATTGGATTTTAAATAAACAGAAAATTAATTTTCTCGTGAAAGATTTGACAATTTATTCAAATAATTAATGCTGGGGTAATATGTGTTTTTGAGACACCATATATAAGTCAGAGAACCACTTGTAAACCAGTCGAGAAGACTAACGAGGTCCATTTGATCCGTATCAGTCAATAAGTATAGGAGTTTATATTCGGACTGGCAAGTTCTGATTTGTGCACGTAAAGAAGTAGTGCTAATCGGCCTAATCAAATGTTTAAATCTCAAACCAAATTTTCATTAATTCAACCTTAAATTTATAAAAATTTTGGAAATTTTTTAGATTTCTAAACAGAACCATGTCCACGGACGTGCGAGGAGTTGTATTATCCGGACTTAAATTGGCAAAGTGAGTAATATTAATTTTTTCGCGCAAATAATCGCTTCGATTTTACAAAAAAAGAGATCGTTCGTTTCGATCGATCGTTTGTTACAAAACAATGATACAGCGAAATAACACAGGCATGCTTATGAAAAAAATTTTGAGATTAATATCAGAATGTTAAATATGCAAGAATGTTAATTCACAGAATATACTAATCAAAACAAAAAACATATTAAATTAATTTATTAAATAATATATATGTGTGTATGTATGTGTGTGTATGTAGAATGCTTTAAATCAAATAAATGTACGCAGTATTACATGTTTTTACGAGGTTATGATATTTTAAATAAGCAAGAATATGTACCTTTGTAATGAAATGCATTACAAACAAAAGTAACAAAGTAATAATGTTGTAAAGCCAAATATAAATATTAATTTTTTATATCATGTTCTGTATCATTACATTTATATTTAAAAAAAAAACACATTAGATATATCATAAATATCTAGAAATTTCCCGCGAAATTCAAATGTCAAATATTTGAAGATTAAAGTTCTATGCGCAAATATAAAATAGAAAAATTGTATATTTAATTAGAAAATAGAGTAATTTGAAACAAACTCACTTGCGAGATAAACAATGAACGTGCGATACAAAAAAATATTAAATTTTATAATATTATTAAATTTCAAAAATTATGAAAAATTATGAAATCCAAAATTTTTATATAAAAACATTTAATTTTTTAATAAAAGTAGACAGTTTACCTATGTTTTGATAATGTAATATAGTGTAATATACATATATAGTGTAATAAACACATATAATAAATTTTATAGAGAGATCCGTGAAGGCCTAATCCGAGATGTTAGCGTCTTAAAAGAGAAATTATCTGATTTTACACCCGGCCTGGCTATTGTCCAGGTAGGCGGGAGGGAAGATTCAAATGTTTACATAAGGATGAAAATCAGCGCGGCCAACGAAATAGGTATTAACGTTCAACATTGGAAACTTCCTAACACTACGACAGAAATAGAGCTTATCAACAATGTTAGTAAACTTAATAATGATCCGAATGTTCACGGAATTATTGTACAAATGCCACTTGACAGTATCAATAAAATCAATTCCCATTTGATCACCGATTTGATATCGCCAGAGAAAGATGTCGATGGGTAAATATATAATTATATGTTTTTTCTCTTTTTTATATGTGATATTTATGAAATAAATTATTTAGGAGAATATACATAAAAATGAAAAAAAATCATAATTTTCAAAATTGCGCGCAAGCACACGACTATTTGACAGAAACTTTTTAGCTTATAAAAATGTAACATTAAAAATTTGTAATTACAATCTGTAATTATAATTTGTAAATCTTATATTTTGTAAATTTGTTAATCTTATATTTTGTTAGCTTTTTTTAATATTTTTAATAAAATTAATCGCGTATTTTACAAAATAACTAACTTCATTTGATAAAATTTTAATCGCAAACTTTACATAACAAAACTTTTTCAAATTATTAATTTATTATTATTGATGATATCTTGTATAGAATAATGTGGAGATACACAGATATATTTGTTGTTACGAAACCACGATATATCGAAAGAGTTTTGTAACCTATTAAACGATGATAAATGAGAGAAATAATATGCCCTTTGACACATAATTTTGATAGTAATGCATAGGCGCCAATTTGAACAAATATTTTCTTATTTTCTTCTTTTCTTGATTTAAAAATACTGTAGAATAATAATTTTCATCAAATTTTTTCCAAATTTTTTTATCAAAAATACTCTCCTTACAAAACTATAACGCAACGTATATACAAATATATTAATAAAGTTTTATTCATCCACAAGAGATATATAATTACTTAATTGCAGACTGACTACTATTAATCAAGGGCGAATTGCAACCGGCGACATGTCGGGATTTTTGTCATGTACCCCAAATGGCTGTGTCGAATTAATTAAGAGGTTACTATTTCATCTCAATAAATTAAGAGTGTTATGATGCAACTGTTATGACGCAAGAAGTTTCTTTATCGTTATGCGATTACACGTTAAACTGAGAAAACAACTTTCAGGAGCGGCGTGCCTATTGCCGGCGCTCAAGCCGTTGTTTTAGGGAGGAGCAAGATTGTCGGCACTCCCGTTGCCGAACTATTAAAATGGCATAATGCCACCGTAACGGTCTGCCATTCAAAAACGAAAAATCTCTCTGACGTCGTAAGCGATCACTTTAATCACTGATCCTTCAGTCCATTGTTACAAATAGTAAAACAAAATTAACTACAATTTTTATATAGATTTATGTCATTTAAAATACTGATTTTTAGGTACGACAAGCTGATATTTTGGTAGTCGCCATAGGACAGCCCGAATTAGTTAAAGGTGATTGGATTAAACCGGGAGCCGTTGTCATCGATTGCGGCATCACTGCTATACCAGGTATATATAATTTTGTTTTTCTTTCATACATTTGTAAGATAAACTAATTAATTTCAAATTTATTAAGATATCTATTATTAAAATTAATCCTGGAGAATTTTATATAACGCTTTGAATAATTTTTCAAAAACACCGATGTATCAATTCTATCTTCTACAATGAGCACTTAACATGTTTACTATTTGCTTAAGTCAGAATTATTTATTTTTTTCCAAATTAAATAATATAAACACATCACAACGATGTATGATATAAGAAAGTAGAATATTTATTTTAGTTAATAAAGCTCACTTATAACAGATATTATCATATAAATATTATATAATAAACAATTCGTTATATAAATTTTATAAATCAGTAAATATAATATTTGTCTTTTTAAATATACAAATAATATGTCTTTATAAATACAGACATGCTGTAAATATCTGTTATAAATGCAAATATGTATCGCCTATAGTATTATCTCCATAATTATGCTTTTCTTCTTCTCCCCGTTGCTTATTACGACATACCCATACATCGCTAATTGTGAACAAAAAAGTACAGAAAATATAGTCGACTTTTTAGTTTAAATTCAGTCGCGTTTGAGTACATACGCTATGCTTAACGCGATAGTTTGTGATAAGACGAGTGTGTAGAGCATTTATCTCCAAAAATATATAAGATATTATAACACACAAACTTATCGTCAAATAGATATTAGTTCATAGTCGTTTAAATTTATCCTAAAAAAATTTTATTCTAAAAAAGTTTTCTTTCCTTCTTTCTTATATTTTAAATAGGCGCTCAAAATCTTGTCCGTATGACACTTCGGTTTACATATATGTACTTATTTGTATATTACATCGGTTAGACGTTTTTTCTATTTATTTAGTTATTGTGATAAATATTAGTATACTTATATACTTCATATATATACTTCAGTAATCGAAGGATAAGATACTCGTCAATCTCTGGCTGAGGTAACATTTTTCGCGATAAAAATTTTCTACAAATTTCTAATTGTTATTAGGATATTATTGGGGAATTAGATATATCGTTCGACTGCTACGTTTTTCGGATTCGTAAATAAACGGCTCGTAATTGCAAACGAAAAAGTTGATTTATTGAATTTAATTACTTATTTAATTATATAAAACAGACACTCAAGGATCTTGCTCAACCGTATGCTCTATTGTTTATTTATAATTTCTTAAATTTAATAAAAAAAATTTCCAATTCGACATCGCTAAAATGTTAAAAACGTTTCAGATCCGACAAAGAAATGCGGACAACGTTTGGTTGGTGACGTGGCGTATCAGGAAGCTGCTAAAGTAGCTTCGTATATCACACCGGTACCAGGCGGCGTTGGGCCAATGACAGTAGCAATGTTGATGAAAAATACTGTGATAGCCGCACAAAGAGCGGCGGAAAGGCTTCTCAACACCCAATGGAAATTGCGGACTCTTAAACTGACTCCTGTAAAACCTGTACCAAGCGACATCGATATCTCGAGAAGCCAGGAGCCTAAATTGATCACTACACTAGCGGAGGAAATTGGATTATATCCGAATGAGTTCAGTCCTTATGGCAATAAGAAAGCGAAGATTGGCCTAAGCGTATTGCAACGACTGAGGAATCAACAAAATGGAAAGTACGTCGTGGTGGCGGGCATCACGCCAACGCCATTTGGCGAAGGAAAGAGCACAACTTCCCTCGGATTAGTGCAGGCATTAACGGCGCATAAAGGCAAAAATTCTTTCGTTACTCTCCGACAACCTAGCCAGGGACCTACGTTCGGCGTTAAGGGAGGAGCTGCTGGAGGAGGATATTCACAAGTACGACAAAAAAGTTTCCTCAGATATTATCGATAATTATAAAAAGAAAAAAAAATAACCGTCATTTACAATTATCTGATCTAACTAGCGCTGACTTTGCATGCAGGTGATACCTATGGAAGAGTTCAATCTTCATCTGACCGGAGATATTCACGCTGTTACCGCCGCGAATAATCTTATGGCAGCTCAAATCGATGCGCGATACTTCCATGAGTCGACTCAAAGTGACAAAGCCTTATATGATCGATTGGTACCGACTATCAAGGGCGTCAGGAAGTTCTCGAAAATTCAATTGAGACGATTACAAAAACTTGGCATCGCGAAAACTGATCCAAACTCATTAACGGAAGAAGAGCAGCGTCGATTTGCAAGGCTTGACATCGATCCAAACAACATTACATGGACGCGAAGTGCGATATAAGAGCTTAAGAATATTATATCCCGGGAGAAATATACTGCATTTACAAGACTTTTCTTTTTTTGCACAGCGGTGGATATTAACGATCGATTTTTGCGGAAAATCACAATCGGTCAGAGTGCAACCGAAAAAGGCAAGACAAGAGAAACATCATTCTGCATCTCTGTTGGGTCTGAAATAATGGCAATCCTGGCACTTTCAACCAATGTCGAGGATATGAAAAGGCGGCTTGGTAACATCGTTGTTGGATTTAGCAAGACCGGCGAGCCTTTAACCGCTGAAGATTTTGTTAGTATAATTACAAATTTATATATCTATACATATAAATTATTTATCTAATATTTATCATTATTTGTACAAAGCAATTATTTTTGTACAAAGCGATTATTTTTATTATCTGTCTTATCGAAATATGTGTATTCTATTAATTTAGACAATTTAAATGGGAAATCTCAGTTGCAGGCGACTACAATTACATATAAATACAATGTTCACAGTGATGTTTATATCTTCATAATTTCGCATGACGAAAACAATTTACAGCTTGTCTAAATATCTGCCTAATCCTCAGGGTATGACGGGAGCAATGGCGATTCTGCTAAAAGATGCCATAGAACCGACACTTATGCAATCATTGGAAGGTACACCGGTAATGGTACATGCCGGACCATTCGCCAATATAGCCCACGGTTGTTCATCCATTATTGCCGATGCTATTGCCCTAAAACTGGTCGGCTCGCAAGGTATTGTAGTGACGGAAGCCGGATTTGGATCTGATATCGGTATGGAAAAATTCTTTGACATCAAGTGCCGCACTTCCGGGCACGTACCGAATGCCGTCGTGCTCGTGGCGACTATCAGAGCATTGAAGATGCACGGCGGTGGACCACCGGTAACAACCGGAGCACCACTAAAGAAAGAATATCTCGAAGAGAATGTTGAACTTGTTAGAAAAGGTCTGCCAAATCTGCAAAAGCATATCGGCAATGGCGTAAAATACGGTGTACCTGTAGTTGTTGCCATTAATTCTCATAGGTACATTTTTCTGTTTTCTTTTGCAAAACGAACAAATACGAAATAATCCACAGTTATCCAAGGAACGCTGGTTTATATTAAATATAAGTGTATTATTTTTCTCGTAATGAAATTTTGTTTTATTAAATCGATATTAATCTTTCAGTACCGATACTCAAGCAGAACTAGATCTCGTTAGACAAGCAGCTTTAGAGAGTGGTGCAGCTGATGCGGTAATATGCACTCATTGGGCCGAGGGTGGGGCCGGTGCTGTTGCTCTTGCGGATGCAGTCATAGCTGCTACCGAAAAAGATAGCAATTTTAAACTGTTGTACGATCTCGAAGCTAGTATCGAAGAAAAAATTAATAAGATCGCTAAAGAGATATACGGCGCTGGCCAAGTTGTTTTCGCGGAAAAGGTGAATAAATATTTTTAAATCATGGATATCGTCGACTCTACATCACAAAATATTCCAATATTATTGAGAGAATATTTGAAAATCTATATTCCAATACGAAAAAATTAATTTTATTCATATTGCCCATGTTCGTATTGACAATTACACAATTGCCTTTTAACAAAATATAAGTATAAAGAATTCCAATATGCTAGATAAAGTAAGACACTGACTATTTTATATAAATAATGTCATAATTATCACAAACTTTTATTATTCATTATAGGTGCAAAAAAAGATTGAAGAGTATAATAAACTGGGATATAACAAACTACCAATATGTATGGCAAAAACATCGAATTCGTTAACTGGGGATCCAGCTATTAAAGGTGCGCCAACCGGTTTCACCCTCGATATTACAGATATATTTGTTTCGGTCGGCGCCGGATTTATTGTGCCTATGGTGGGAGAGGTGAGCGTAATGATTTTTTTTTAACCATATAATTGATAATAGAATATTATTTGCTAAATAACATTATTTTATATTTCAGATTATGATGATGCCTGGATTATCTACTAGACCAAGTATCTATGATATGGATTGGAACAGTGAAACGGATGAGATAGAAGGTCTGTTTTAAATCAGACATTTATCTTTTAGCGGAAGAAATATTTTTGCAATACAATGATGTGTATTAATAATTCCTCAGCATAAATTTATACATTATAAATTTATACATTATACATTATAGTCAATACATAAACATCAATAAAGTCTTTTTGTATTCAAGAAACTTTCTTTAAGCAACTTTCTTTATTGTTTATGTACAGTGCGATAATACATTCTATTATAATAAATATTCGTATGCAAATACATTTCAACAAGTTTGTACGTTAATAAAAAGATGTAAACTATTATAACTCTGTATATAGACATTTATTTCATCTTCATAATAGCACGCAATTTTGCTGATCGCGATCTCGGATTAGTTTCGATTTCTTCAGCCGTAGGTGTCAGAACATGCTTATGCATCATTTTCCACGGTATTTCCGTCAATTTTTCATACTCGTCTTTATCAAATACTTTGCCATAATTGGCATATTTTAACGCCACGGTATTAGCCACATTGTCAGTTATGTTTCCAGAAATATGTCTTTTAACTATAGTATCTTCGAGTGAATGAAAAGAGATTGTTATTAAACGACCGGATAGTTTCAAGTATATCTGCGCGAGAAGTATACCATAATTAATTTCGTTTAATTCGTTATTAATAAAGATTCTAAGTGCTTGAAATGTTTTTGTGGCACTATGTGAAAATCTACCAAGACTATCTTTTCTGATTTCACCATCTAGGGTGGATTCTATCAACTGAGCCAGTTCCTTCGTTGTCTCTAATTTCCTAAACATATATCTAGCATCAACAATGGCACGTGCAATTTTCTTAGCACGCTTCTCTTGTCCGTAAATTTTTATGATACGAGCTAAATCATCCTCCTTCGCCTTCTCTAACACATCCGCGGCAGTAATTTGATCGGGACACCGAAATCCATCCATCCTCATATCTAACGGTCCATCTTTTGATAAAGAAAAACCTCTATTCGCTGTATCAAACTGCATCGATGAACAACCAAAGTCAAACAAAAAGCCATCTATACTATTTTTTGTAATTTTGTATTCTTTAAGTAATTGTGGTAACTCAGAGAATTTACCTAACAAAGGAATTATTTGTCCTGGATATTTCTGAGATAACTTTTTTGCATATTCGTACGCTAAGGGATCTCTATCTAATGCAAATATTTTTATATTAGGTGAAGATTCTAAAAGTTTACTGGCATGCCCACCAGAACCAAATGTCATGTCTACATATACTTTGCCTGGCGATGGAGCCATATATGTTAATACTTCCTGTGCCATAACAGGCACATGAAGATTTTTGTCAGAGCAGACATTGTCAAAACTATATCGCCTCACCAAATATAACAAGTTGTTATTTCCTAACAATGCATGTCTTTTGTTAGTAAAACATCTACTCTTACCAAACTGATTTACAAAGTACGCAAACTTAACCATTTCTTATAAGATGTCTTAATTTTCTAAAAAACCTGCGAAATATTCCCTTTTCGTCTTCTTTCAAATATTCTAACATTTCTGGAGAAAGCGCCAAGTTACATTGTTCCTTATTCAATCCGCTCGCAGTACTTAATAAAGAGCGCTTGTAAAGTTGTCCATAATGGTTTGATGAAATCCTTTTTAAGCTTAAATAATATCGATTACACTGTTCCGGATTCGGTGGATTAGTAGCTTCACCCTTCACAAATGCAACTTTCAATTGGTCACGAATATGCTGTCCGAGATCTCTAAATAAATAAAAGATTAATGAGAAGATGGAGAAATTTAAATACACCGTAAGAATAAATGTAACCAACAGATTTCCTCAATTGTCAATGAGAATTATTAAATGTAAAAAATGTATTTTCTAACCTAACCTAATTGTATATTCAAAGTAAACACTAACATGTTATTAATGAATTGTGATCAATGGCCGTTGCATTCAAAAAAATTATATACACTATTCTGTCTCAAATTGTTTTCATAGTTACCTGCCAGCTTTACTTTTGTCCAGTGGCCACGACTCCAACAGCTTCATAAAGTTCTTATAATTACCAGCCATGACGATGTGCGCCAAATTTTAGAATGCAACGTGATGTTACCATGATAAGAATGCAACGTGATATTACCATGATAAAGAATCTTCACCGCGACCTATTTTATCGATCTTTGATCGAGAATGTTATATTTATTCATCGATAGATAAATTGAAATATTTGAAGTTTTTGAAAATAATTTTTTTTTATTGTGATATATTTAGATTTCTTTGCTTTATTTATTTCTTTATTTAAAATAATGATAAATATGTAGTACGACTTTCTTTCCTTAATTTTTTCCTTGACTAATTTCGTAAATTTGTGTATTTTCAAGCGTAGAATATATTCTGAGAAGAAAGATCGTCGCTCAAATCCTTTTTTTTTCTTTTTTATAACGCTCTCATGTTATGTCCATTTCGCTATATATTAACTTTACTGCCTAGATCTATGATTATCGACCGTAGATGGCGGCTCTCTAAATAATAATTAGACAAAGAATATGATACGCTTCACAGCACTTCAAATATTCCTTGCATGTATCCTAACCTATAACACTGAACGTTGAACGTTTTAAGATTCAAAAGCCAGATATTATATGAATCAGATAAATGTCAATTCAATAAATGCTAAAAATTGGGCAATCAAGTACTTATGATTTCGTTTCCAAGAAAATAATTTCATAGATAGATTTTATAATATCTTTAAAACGGTACGTATGAAAACTAATTGATTAATAAATATTTGTTTCAACTTGTACTTTAATATTGGAAAGCTTTCATAAAGGATTGTTTATATGTGTATAGCAAATAACAGAATTTATTTCACCTAAAATTTTTAAACTTTTGTTTTTCTCTTTATTAGACCATATTCTCAAAAAACATCTATTGGCGCCAATATCTATGGGAATATCATATCTTTTATAGATATGAAATTTGTTTTGAGAAAATCAAACAATTTTCATATCTAACTTATAGACATGGAAAATTGTACGATACGATGCCGTCTGTGTGGCATTAAATCTCTATCAGAGTGTTCGAAATATATCTTTGATAAAGCGACTAATTTAGCACAGATAATAAATGAAACGTTACCAATCAAGGTATGCTGCAGTAATTTAATTACTGTAAGTATACTGTACTGTGTATAAGTATATCACTATATCTTCAGTTTTTTATAGGTTTCTCAAGATGATCTTTTCAAATACATATGTTCAGATTGTTATAATAGAGTTACTAGTCATTATGATTTTATTCAAAATATATTGACATGTTCGAAAGAAACTGAAGCAAAAATCATCTCCCTTTTTGAAGTTAACAAAAATGACAAATTAGAAAATGTGGCAATTTCTAAATTAGATGATGATATGATATATTCCTGTCCGAATTGCAACAGAGATTTAATGATTTTAATGAAACAGACTCCTGAAGACTGTAATGCGTTTCAAATTTCACTAGCTGTTGTAGATCAAATCGAAAAATTAGCAGAAAAAAGTGTGCAAATATGTGAAAATACAGTGGAATTTATTAATGTTTACACAAAGAAATCAAATATGAAGGATAAATTACATGAATTGTCATTGAATAATATCAAGAATGAAAGTATGATAAAGAAACAAGACAGCAATGGTATATATAGAAATTTGCCCATATTGCAAAAGAATTCTGATACAAATCCTTGTATTGTATCAACAAATATATCGTGTGAAACAAATAAAAGTACAAAGAGTAAATTTCAAGAAAATGTTTTTGTCAAAACAGCAGTTAATCCTACTAGGCAAAAATTAGAAACGAAATTAAGTGAAATAAAACAAAATGCCCATCAGTTCAATAGTGATTATAATAAACCACATATAGTTAGTATTAGGAAAATGCAATCAGAAATTAATGTTGAGGAATATTTTAGCGAAAGAATTAAAGAAAATGACAACACAGAAAATATGGCAAAAAGCAAAGGCCTCAATATGAATATTATTGACTCACAAGATCAAGAAGAAGAAATAAACTCGAACATTGAACATTGGAAACAAAATACCGATGAAACTTGTAATGATTATAATAAGTCAAGTATAGATGACTTAATGTTTCAATCAGAAAACGATGTTTCGGAAAATGAAACAGAACTTAAAGAAAATGATGATACAATAGACATGACAAAAATAGAAGAAATGGATATCGACAAAAGTGATAACACAAACGACAATAATATCGATATTTTAAGAGGTAATCTAAAACATGTGTGCAACTTGTGTGGTGCTCGTTATATTTCAAAAATGAAATACGAGTTTCACATGGAAAGACATAAATTGAACAAAATAGACAGATATGTTTGTCTTATATGCGACAAAGAAAGTAAAAATGAAAATTTGTTATGGGATCACTACCTTCACATGCATAAGAGGCCACAGCAATACATTTGTTTAGACTGCAATAAGGTATTTACAAGAAAGTTGGATTTAAATGAGCATCAAAAGAATCACAAACATTCTGGTTACAAAAAAACATCTGTTAATGATGACATGGACCATGATCAGGCGCAGGATGCAATGAAGGAGAAGCGAAAATGCACCGTCTGCAGAAAATTGATAAAGGATATTGATCCAAATGCTATCAATGATCTAGCAACGTGTGCCTCCTGTGAAGATTCTAGTGCGTGTCTGATGATCGATGGTGATGTAGCAAAAGTGGCTTTGCAGCGACAATATCAATGTTTGAAGTGCCGTAAGCACTTTTTACGCCGGGAAAGACTCGAGTTCCACGAAATGCGACATAACGAGAATATGAACGAATTTATTTGCAGCACATGCGGCAAAGAATTTAGTGGTGAGAATTCCTTGTACGAGCATTATCTTTTTGTACACGTAGGGGCTAGACCGCATATCTGCGAAGTATGTGGCAAATCGTTTCAGCTGAAAGCGCGATTAAAGGAACACCTTCGAAAACACACGGGCGAGAAGCCTTATCAATGCGAAATCTGCGGTCAGCGCTGCATGACTTCGCACTCACTGAAATTCCACAAGAAATCTCATTTCCCTGTTCGCCACGCTTGCAGCGTATGTAACAAATCGTTCCTCAAGAAGCAGAACTTGAATGAACATCTGGAGAAGCACTGGAAGAAAGACAAGAATGTAAAACTTCCGCGAATATTCACATGTTCCTTGTGCAATTGCGATCTACCGACCTATCGCATGCTGAAACATCACATGATTGGGACCCACAAACTCGATCGTCAAGACCCTTTGATAACGGAACAGAAACCGTTGTATGAGTGTAACGAGTGTCATGAGAAATTCAAGCATCAAATGTCGCTCAAGGCGCACAAGGAGAAAGTGCACGAAGGCAGAATTTATCCCCGTATATTTCAATGCGATATGTGCAAAGCTGAATATAAGGTAAAGCAGATGCTCATAAATCATATTAGGAGTAAGCACAATGGTGAGAAACGATACAAGTGCGCTAAATGCAATATGAAATTCATGGATACCAAGAGCTTGTATCATCACGTTTTATTGCATACTGGTAGAAAACCGTTCTCCTGCGAGTTCTGCAACATGAACTTCAGGCGAAAGAGTGCCAGGGACATTCATCGTCGTAAGCACACAAACGAATCTTATCAGTGTACGGATTGCAACGAATCATTTGGTAGCTACAGCAGTCGCTCAAACCATCGCAAAAAGGTACATGGGAATAATAAAATTGAGTGTCATGAATGCGGAGAAAAATACGATACGACACAAGAATTTAAAATTCATCTGAACAAGCATCTTGGTGAACAACTGAATAAATTAAAAAGCTTATAATGATAATAGTATGTACACGAATGTGATTTAGCATGTACACAAATGATTATACATTACACGATACACAATTGATTATCTAATATTATATAAAATAAATAATGTATCGATGTGATCACATAAAATTTATACGATATTTCATGCAAGCAATTGGTCAAATAATTAGTTCGTTTTAAAATAAATTAAATAATGTAATTTGTACAGTGTGGTTAGTTTTTTTAATATAAAGATCGGTCATGATTTAATATTTATAAGATATTCAACAAATTATATTAATTATATTAATTTTCAGTGTGTTTAAATGACATTTTTCAGTAAAATGTTGTATTATTTTATTATATATGTCTATTATTGTATGCGTATATACTTTCCAGTTGAATATAAATACAAATATAAAATGTATTCGTGTGAGAATATTATGCTTTTATTATATTTCCGATTGTATTTTTTTATAAATAATTATGATTAAGATTGGTTAATCTTTAAGATTGTATCATTTATTCTTAATTTATGATTATAAATATCTACTAACTATGTATAAATATCTATAATGTAGATTTTAATCTCAGTTTAATTTTACCTTTTTTTAGTTCTAAGAATTAAAAAAAAAAGAATAAATTAAGCTAAGATTAAAATTAATCCAAATTGATAGAAATGAACATTAACTGTTTGATAATAATATTTTAACATATAGTCGCTAAATTACAACGTAATTTTCAATAACACATTTTTATTCTGCACGATAAAAAAATGATTCTTTTATTTTATTCTTAGACAGATTACATGACATCTTAATGGTTATTGACATTCATATTATATCGATATCAAAATGTAATAAAATTCATGTATTTGTATCGCACAGCATCGTCGAGATGACAAAGCGGCGTGGTCGTCCTCATTCAAATTTAAATGGCTACTGTGCGCGCGTCACGCAGAGGTTTAAATGGACGCAGCGCTAGCGCAAAAATCAGGTGGTCGTCCATGGACGACCGTATAATCGAGAAGAATTCTGGACCGCCGGTCGCAATGGCGAAATGTCGAATGTCCAGAAGATCTCGAGGCGAGCGGTATTGGCGGCACGACGTACATCGGGGGCATCGGCATTTCGCAGGAGAAATGCTCATCGAGAACTCACCGAGGAGTCACGTGTCATTTTTCGAAAATCAACGTGAAAAAAAGACAAAATGCGCGATGGGACTATTTTCTCGCGGAGTGATATCGACGAGAGTTTCGTCAACGAGTCGATATTCGAGAGGAGGTTTACGGAGTCGCGAACCGATCATTCCTCCGTCGCAGGCGGAAGCGACGACAGGGACGTCGCGAATTTTCACAACGGTCCGTCGCGAAAGTTCGCCCAGGTAGGCGATTTTTCGCGAGGTCCGCCGGCACGGAATTCTCACGAGAAGGCAGGAGGTCGCGCGTGCGGGGCGCACGCCACCGCGCACCCCGATTCGCGACGACCGAAGCCGCTGATTGGAGGAGAATCCGAGATGGAACGAGCGATTCGCGGCGCGCACTCACACCGCCGCGCGATCGCAAGTATCTACGCGTCGAGACGGGTCGCGATTTTGTATTCGATGCAGAGTCGTCGCGACTCACCGCGGAACCTGGCGCCTTCCCCCTGAAAAATTGGCTCTTTCGACTTTCCGCCCGGGTCAATTGCAAATGTACCGATCTCCCTTGTGAATCACCCTTGAAAGTAAAATCGCCATCCAACTCCAATGTAAATAAGGAGGAAACGTCAAGCGACGTTTAATTGGTTAAAAACAGTTAGGAAACAGTGACGCACTCGTACACTATGTTTAAATTTATAATTTTGATAAATCAAACGCACGAAAAAAATGTCACGTGAAGACTCGTAAAGAGATATCGCGTTTTCGAGATGTGATTTAGATATCTTTTTTCTCAGATGCTGTACGTTCTCTTGTTCACGAGACGTCAGATCGGTGAAAATCGGAGCAAAAGCACGGGGCAGCTGAAACGTCTCGATACGACCGTGATTACCGGGTACAGCAGGGCGCGGGCCGCGAGCAGAGGGGGGACTCGCAAGAGTTCGCACGCATATACCGGCGGCGTACATTGGCGCACGGCCAACACAGCGAATTCGTTCGCCAGCTCCGAGGAGGAACGCGTCGTCGCCGACATATACAGCGTGTGAGCGCCAACCTAACCGAGGGGAACGCACATATATACTAGATACAGCCGCTGTTAATCCTACGGTCGGTGGGCGAGTCGGTTCGTGCGGAAATGGCCGGGGAAAAGCGCAGCCAGGATCAGGATGAGATCTCGTTTGCGAGGACGGTGCTCGTCGACATCGAGGGCACCACCACGAGCATCAGCTTCGTAAAGGTAAAGAACACAAAGGACGATGGGGGAATCGTTCAATCGCTCGCTCGCTCGCTCGCTCGCTCGCGCGCGCGATCGGGCCATACCGGGTTTCGCGTTTCGCGTCGCTCTCTCCATTCCGGGGAGCGGCCGCACGTCGTGTCGGGATCTTTTTCGACGGGATCTTTTTAGAAAAGCACAACGACGTTGGCGTTTCGCCTTTTGATCACGCGAGCTCGTGCGCCCCCTCTCTCCCTCCCCTCCTCTCCCCTGGGAAATCTCGTCTGGGTCTCGGCAAGGAGCTCGTCTCCTCGCTCGTGCATATAGACGCGGTCGAATTCCACAGCGGGTTATTGTCCTCGCGTCGGGGCGGTGTGCCGGCTCGAGTCGCGAGTTTTCGGTCGACCATGAGCCGCCGCCACTACCGCCGCCGCCACCGCCGCCGCCGCCGCCGCTGCCAACTCCGTGTTTGTAAAACGGGGAAAGGAGATAAAGAGAGAGATTTCGAATCGAAAGAGGGTATCGGCTCGAGGTTTCGGCGAGAAACCGAACCCACGGCCGGCAACGACAGGAGAGCCGAACGGACGGCCATGAGAACCCGGCTTGAAAACAAACGCTATGATCTTTTTATAGATATCGGTCGCGAGTATGTATATTGACGCGGCGCGACGCGCCGAGATGCGCCGAGACGCCGCCGAACGCCGCCGGAAAACAACGGGACACGCGCGTGATTTTTCCCGGCGAGCGTTTTCCGTCGCGACGGCGCTTGACCTTACCAGCATGCTTCGTTTCTCTTGCAGGAGACTCTGTTTCCCTACGTGCGCCAAAATTTAAAGGATTACATCGAGACAAAATGGGAGGATGAGGAATTCAAGCAAGATTATGAAAAGTTGAAGGAACAGGTAAATATTTTTGCCAGTTAAAGGGACAAGTAAAAAAAAAAAAATAGGATTTTGACCAGTCAAAGGAATAAATAAATATAAAATTTCAATAGGAAATAATGAAAAGAACGATCAGAAATGATGTTTGCCTTTGTTTGAAGTTGTGTGAAAGAAATACATGCTAGTAATTCATAGTATTACATTGTAGGAAGCCTTGGGCGTTTTTTTCTCTTTTCTTTCTTTTATTGAACATCTGTATTCATGTACAAACGAATGTATAACTCAATGTTTTTAATTAAAAAAATTAATAATGTAAAACAATTTATATTTATGATGTGGAAGAAAACTCAATTGATTTATAAAATTTTAAGTTAAAATCTTTTATTTTAAAATGATATTCAAGATAAATATTAGAAATCACATGTATTTATATAATTGTAAGAATAAATACAATACAACTTGTAAGAATACAAAGTAAATACAAGTAAAAACAAAGAAATGTAGTCAATGACTGTTTTTCAGTCAGTGACAGTTTTCAGACTGTTGCAGATAATAAGTTTTATCAACCAAGCTTTGCTTAGAGAAATTATTGAATGATATTATCTTTTATTAGATATTTTTATAAAATAATAGAATTATTAATATATGAATAATAGATAAGTATAAATTATCCTTATCTCCCTTTTCCCTCATTTTTTTTAATAATATTAAAAATTGTATCTTAGCTTAGTAATAACTGATTGATTTTCTTATACAAATTTTTTTTTTATCTTTCTAGTATTCTATACTATTTTATATTTTTTATTTCAAATATATATTTAATATTAAATTTAATGTATATTTTTTATATGCATAAAGATAATTGTAAATATATTCATTTTTAAACTGACTTGAATAAAGTATGAATATTTTAAAGTTAATTTTAAAATATTTTGTTTTGAATATTATATTTTTCATGTTTCACAATTTTTTTATCAATTCTGTATCAACTACTAATATGCTTTTTTAGGCAAAAAAAGACGAGGAAGATAAATTAGATGGCTTCATAGCAATTACTGGTGATAAGCCTGAAGACGAAAAAGAATCACTTTTAAAAAATGTTTTGTGGCAAATGGATAATGATCGTAAAACAGGTGCATTAAAGCAGTTGCAAGGACATATGTGGCGTGAAGCATATAAAGCTGGCACAATTAAAGGACAGTAAGTTGTTTAATCTTATTTTTAATTTTTTTATTTGCGATAGATAATTAGATTGATTTTATGTGCACAATATTGTCTTTATAAAATTTTTAATACATATAGACCTTTCACATAGAGTATTAGCGATTTAAACGGCGGCATTATATAGTTAGATAGAAATATAAAGAAAATTAATTATTTATAATATATGCATAACTAATAACAAGTATACATTGTATAACAAGTATACATAACTATCATAAATGGTGAGGTAAATATGTAGTACTTGGGCTCACTTTAGTTATGTCTTATTTATATTTATTTTTTATATAAAGTTTTTCCATCTATGTGTCTAAAAACATTCTCTTCATGATGCTTGTATTTTGTATTTTTAATTTTATGTTTTATCTAATTTTATACACACAGAATATCTTACACTCTAAGTATTGGTTGCATTGAAAATTACTTTTTTCTAGACAGCTATTATGCCAAACATTGTTTTATAAATGACTATTTTTTTACTTTTAATTCTCTAGTATTCTAATTTAACTGTAATAATCGCTAAGTTTAATAAAAAAAAGCTATAAAATTTAATCGAAAAGATTAAAGACTTTTAGTTCCAACGTTAAGTTTCAAGAAAATACATCTTGTTTAGTGTTTATGAAGATATTCCTAAAGCGTTTGAATCCTGGACAAACGACGGCAAAAAAATATATGTCTATTCAAGTGGTAGTGTTGAAGCGCAAAAACTGCTTTTTGGACATTCTGTACATGGTGATTTGCTTAAGGTACTCTATAATAATATACTGTGTTATAAAGATAGCCTATCATATATCTTAATCAAATACTTGTATGAACTATATTTTTTTTCCTTTTTTTTTAGTATTTTAGTGGTTTCTTTGATACAGAAGTAGGTGCAAAGCAAGAAAGTGATAGCTATAAAAATATACTAAGTAAAATTGATGAAAAATCATCCGATGTTGTTTTCTTAACTGATGTTGTAAAAGGTTTGTATATTTCCTTTATTTTCGAAATGAGAATGGGGAAAAATTATTAATTATCGAAATTATATAAATAATCATAAAAAAAGATATATTCTAATCATGTTCAAATGATAGCAAATACCTTTACTCATTCTTTTTTTCTTAATCAATAACAGAAGCCGCAGCTGCTAAGGAAGCAGGTTTATCAACAGTAATTGTAGTACGTGATGGTAATGCCGCTCTAACCGATGAAGAAAAAGTTGCATATACAACGATCAAATCCTTTTTGGATTTGACATTTCAAACATCTACAAAGCGACAAAAGTTAGAAACAACAGATGATAAAATTGAAAAAGACACAGCTGACGTTAGTGAACCAATGGACACTTCTGAAGATGTAGAAATGTCCGATGTCAGCGATAAAAAGGTTGAAAAAAACGAGGCAAAAGAAGTAATTGAATCGGTAGGAAGTGAGTGCGTAAAGGATCAACCAATGGAAGATGTTTCAATTTCTTTGGGACAAGAGGAAGAAACAACAACAGTCGAAAAAGATCTTTCAAATACTGAACAAAAGACGACAGAATCCGATGCTAAATCCAAGGACACAAATGAGAATGTAGGTTCTTCTGAAAGTACAGAATGCTCTGTGAAAGATGACGTTGCAACACTACCCATAAAAGACAGTGATAAAGTCACTGTGACAGAAAAAACTGAAGAAAGTTTAGATAAGATCACGAGTGAAATTACTCCTGCTACCGATGATTCGATGGATGTGTCCGCCCAAGAATCAAAGTCCGAAAGCGCTCCCACGTCTTCCGAGAAAAAAATTGAAGATTCTACAGACGTTGCAAAAGATATACAGACCGAAAGTGTTGATAAAACTCAAACAGTTGAAGACGACAAAAAAACTGACGACACTGAACAAAAGTCACAAACTTGTGATAAAAATATAGCAAACAAATCTGAAGAATGCTTGAAAAAAGATGAAATGAAGGAAGAATCAAAGATTACTTCTGAAAGCACATCTGAAAGCGAGAATATTCCAGCAAAGAATGAACAAGAAGTAACAAAAATGGAGACGATTACAGTAGATGTCACAGAAAATGGGGAGACTGTAGAGACAACTGCGGAAAAAACTATGGTATTGCCAACGGTAAAAGAGACGGAAGCAACAATTACTACATCAGAAAGGAAAGAAACAACGATATCAACCGAAGCATCTGTAGAAAAAAATTCGGAAGTAATTGCAGAACAAATTGAAAAAATTGATGAAAAGGAAACTCAAGGAATAGAAACAGAAACGACTGATGCTGAAAAAAGCGAAAATGAAATTACACATGAGACAATAAAAGAAGAGGAGACAGTGAAAGAAGAGAATGTAGTGAACATGAAGGACAAAAATACAGTGGATTCGGAAAAGCAAAAACTCAACGGTACCACACAAAACGGAAATACAGATGTGCCAGTGTTGGATGACAAATTACACAGTAACGGACTGAATGAAGGGCCGTCGAAGGAAACGACAAGCGAAGACGCGGCAGCGCAAAACGGTGAGCCCGAGAGTTCGTCAGAAAGTAGTGCGGAATCTATAAAAGTTAAAAAAGTCGTCGATTCCGCCGTAGCCGATGGTGCTGGCGAACCCGACGTTGTTCCTCCCGTAGTTGTAGCGGCGACGTCTTAACTTTGTTCTTATACAGTTTAAGGAACCCTTCATGCATAACCCCAATCCAATAAGTACTTATTCGCAGGTATAAACTGATATTAATTGATCCCACGTATACTTTATGTAAATCGTACTACGTCAAAAACGTAACGCGCTACTTTAAGATGCAGTTCGTAAAACTACCGTTCGTTTTGGCGGCTATAACAAGGGAAGGAAAATAGAAAACGATACGGAAAGACGCTTCAGATTTTTTGATCGTTCTTTAGATGTTACTATAGCTGTACATTTTACTTTCTTCCTGACAATTGCTAACTTCTATCTGTACGGTGCCGTTAATGTTTATGTTAACTATACATATTACGAGAATCCAATTTTTATTGTTAATTCATTTACGTTTGGTTTTTTTTAATTTTCGATTAATTGATGATTTTTACAAAAAAAAGGCAGTGAATTAGTATTGAAGTAAATTTAAAACATTTTTTAATTTCACATATGCTTGATAGTAATAATCAAATATGTTATCTAATCGATATAATCGATTATTATTCTTGAGGGGCTTTTTTTAATATTAATCTTTACATGACATGTGCTGACATCTTTTTTATACCGCCTAAACAGAACTATACGTGAAAATTGATAGGATAGGTAATTACAATAGTGTTGCAGTATGTTAAAATATCGATTGCATCTGTGCCAAATGAATTTCACAATTTATAATTTTTGCTTCCTTCATTCCACTTCTTCAGTATTCTTTCCGTTAATAATTTTATAAATGACATTAAGAGATCTGGTCGATGTTTTATTTTACTGCTGCAACCGTGAAACTGACTAAGAATAATTATTTTAAGACTGAATTGGCGTCGCCTTTAACAGTCGCTGTCTTGTAGATTATATCATAGATTTTCGTCGCGCACAGCGTATTTAACTTTATGAATTGATAAACAATACATTTCAAGTCTAAATAATTGTAGATATATATTGCACAATAAGCTTCACTCGATTATATTAGTTTTTTGCTTATCGCGTTTTTATTATATAACGTTATTAAAAATTTTTTAATATTAGAACTTTTTGCATCGATACGCTTTCTACCATCGCTTTGTCTACCTAACATGGTTCGCGTAATGTAATTTTCTTTTTAATAAACGTTGCAATGCGGAACTTTTAACCAGTTACGTCGCGAAAGACTTGTGAAAGAGCCTAAAAGAACGTATTTTAGCGTTTATATTTTATAATTTCACAATTTAAATTCCCAACTGTTCAATCTTAGAGGCGATTGATTCTAGATGGTTACTTGAATAAATTGGCTCAGTAATTAAAATTAAATAAAATAAAAGTCATGTAGCCAATAGGATCTATTTTCTTCTAAATTGAATTGAATATACTTTCGAATATACTTTCGAAACGCGCGCGAAGAGGAGCATATCGATTCATAGATTTACTCTATCATTCCTATCAATTATTATTGCGTTATAAAATTCGTGGAATACATTTATATTATCGCTTTATAATTAACTGAATAATAAATTTAGTCGTGCATTGTTTTGCACTATTATGTTCTAAAGACTTTTACACATAAAAG